ACATCATCGTTACAACCATAATCTATCTATAACATATCATCGTCTCTACCATTATCTTCGTCGTCATAATCGTTCTCAGGGTTAAACATTGCACTTGCAGGATAAGTGCAATCGATGTAACGTAAACGCTGAATGGGCGAACATTTAATATCCGGAGAACAACTTTCCACCTTCACACGATAATTTCACTTTTAAACAACAAAACAAAGTTTAAAAGTAAACAGACATTCTGAAGAAAACAATAATTAAGAAGGGGACGTCACTCAGATCGATGAAATTCAAAAAACGGAAAGTTTGCTGTGGATTTGTTGGAACTGCTTCCACGTGACCTCCAATGGAATGGTGGCACCCTTGCCCGCATCACATGGCATCTCTATGCTGGCCAACAACTTCCGGTCTGACGTCACCGATCCGGATGATGACGATGATGACTTTCCGGAATCTAATTGCTCTTGCAATTTCTGTGAGTGATTATAAGAATTAATCAAAATTAATCAAAACACTTTTCTAAAAAAAGCTGAACAGTCAGACGGGCAAATGAATGAAAAACGTTCGAACCCTGAGGTAGTCAGGTGTGGCGAATGACCCGACGTATGACCTGACATGACCTCCCTTGCTCTCTGACGACAACTTTCTCAGCACACCCACCTCGAACTTTCATTTAATTGTAGTCGAATTTTTAAATGGAATATTAAATGATCGTTTCTATTAACATTTTATCAATGATTGTTACTGAGATTTGTTTAAAATTACCATTATCAGTTAATTAAAATTAGTTAAATTAATTAATTAAAGTTGGGCGGCGCGATGGTGTAATGGCTGAGGTGCCTGGCATTGTTGATGCTGTGTCCGGGTTCGAATGCAAAAAGATCCCCGCTTATCACTTGCAAAAGTGTGTAATGCGTTGATTCACGTGCATTTATGCACCGTGTGTCTGTTGTAATAATGATAATGCGCCTCATCAGTCGCTTGCCATGGCGCTATATAAAATGACATTATTATTATCAGTTGAAATTATCAGTTATCAAATAGCCAGTGCTAATGAATCAGCGGTGACGTTCGGCGTGCCATCACATAACAAGATTCCAGACAAACACGCACGCACACATATACAATCGAACACACTACAGTCTAACACACTACAGTCTAACACACTACAGTCTAACACACTACAATCTAACACACTACAATCTAACACACTACAATCTAACACACTACAATCGAACACGCAAACAACAGCACGCAAAAGACCTCATTGATCTCCCTCTGAAGAGAAGCCATCTGGGCGTTTCTGCACGATATCTGCCTCATAGGATTGTCCATGCCTTTCGGCTTCAGGCCTGTCAATCAAATGCAGGACATGGCGAAGAGAATGACGACTACGTCACCAAACATGAATAAACACCAGCAGGTAAACAATTATGTACATACATGTCAAACAACGTTCTATTTGTTATAAACTGCAACAAAATACAAAAACAACATTACAAACAACAAAACGGCACGGGCAACAACAGCAACAACAAACCCTTCTTGCATTTCGTAATGTCAACCAACTGTGGCAGCATCATCTTTTGTGCTTTCTATTAAAAACATTTTCAACATTAACGTTGATGATGATAATAAAAAATATTAAAAAAAAAATAACAGCAAAAATAATAAAAATAATAATAACGGTGCTGTTACAACAACAAAAATGGTCAAAGGTTAGAAGGCCAGGGGAATCAACATCGTAAACGAAAACGTGCCAAACGAAGCATTTAATGAGTAAGGATTCCTTTGCCGTATTCGAACTCAGTAACTGCAGGCATTGTGAAGCCGAACTTGGCGCCTTTAACCTTTGGCCCACCACGTTTATATCTATGGAAACCATGGAAACAGCCAAATACGCAGTGACGATTACGTAACAGAGCAAAAATACATATTTATAATTTCTTAAATTTTTCACATAAAACATTTAATGTCACTCACCACCATCAGCACCACCACTACCACCACCACCACCATCATCATCATCATCACCACCTTGATCAGTTCATTGGACTTCCTCCTCATGGCAACAAGTTCATCATCCTCAGAAGCAGCAGCAGCAGCAGCAGTGGCATTTTTGACTGCTTTCAGAGGCAGCTCCAATGGAGGCAGCTCATCTAGCTGTTTCTGTTTAATTAGCATCATCATCGTCATCATCAGTATTTCTCGTCATCCATTCATCGTAATTATGTTCATTCCATCGTCATCATCATCTTCCCAACTAATTATCAAGATCATGATTACTGACTGACTGACTGACTGACTGACTGACTCACTCCATTCACTCACTCCATTCACTCATCCATTCACTCATCCATTCACTCATCCATTCACTCATTCATTCACTCACTCACTCACTCACTCACTCACTCACTCACTCACCTTCATCCTTTCCCCCATCAGTTCTGCAATCTTCAAACTCAATACCCTGACAGTTTCTCGAAGACAGGCAATCTGACCAACATAGCAAGACGAAGCGAGTGTGTGCGTGCGTGTGTGTGCAGCTGTGTGTGCATGTGCAGGTCGGTACGCATGGTTGTGTGCGTATGTGAGATGGCGTGTTTGCTTTGTGGGCATAAGTACAATAATGACTTCAGCATTTGATAAAATGTTAAATTGAATTAAAGTACTCTCCAAACTGTAAAAATAAAAATGGACACTTTTTATGTTAAACGATTAAAGCATTATACGATCATCAGCCATTCAAATACATACATAAACACACCAAAGTGCTCGCACGCACACACGCACAAACAGACAGACCTCCTTCGTAGACATAGTGCCAGTTATTTTGGATGGAGATTCTGAAGGCTCCGATGTCTCTGAATTAAGTGATGGTGCCAGCCGCAACAGTAAACAACAATGATGATGGCGGTAATAATGATTTGGTGATAACAAAGACAAGGACATTAAGATATAAAGATACTGACAGACCAATCGACCGTCCGATAAACTGACCAATCAACTGACCAACCATTCTTCCAGCCAATCAGAACCAACCAGGAGATGCCAGTTGCTTGGCCAGCCCAGCGAAGAGGCTCTTCTTGGAGGCATCCTTCAACTTCTTCAGCAGGTCGGCCTTTTCAGCCTCTAACGAATCAATGTCCGCTTGCAGCGTGTCCATGCTGTCTTCGTGCGATCTATCCGGATGGACGGGTCAATCAATCAATCAATCAATCAATCAATCAATCAATCAATCAATCAATCTATCAATGAAAAAATTATGAGTGATTGAATAATATAAAAAACAAATTTTCTAAAATAAACGAGTTCGCCGGTCGAGTTTCAGAGTCGGATGAAAATTTTCCGATTCCGGCCTCTCAAAAACTCAGACTCCGACCCTCACATTGAAATAATAGAAGAAGTAGCGATTGAAGACGTAAAAACAAACAGCGCCAGCCAGCCAGTCTGTGTGTCATTACCTCCATCTTCATCTTAATCGTCACCACCCTACATCATATGACATCCCGTACGACACGCCACACCACACACACACACACACACACACACACGGACACACACGCACGCGAAACGATGTCACATCTCACTCACTTCCTCTCAGCCTTCAAAGTCATGGTAGCCTCATCGAGTTTCTGCTGCATCTTGTCCAGACGATCGTCCGTCTCCTTGTTGATCGTCTCACACTTCTTCTCGAGAACCTGCACCCTCAACATGCACTGACCCAAGTCCTCTTGCTGATCACGTGATTATCAAGATGGTGATGATGGTGAAAATGATTATGCTGATACTTCGATGCCACTATGATGGTAATGAAGGCAGTGATGGCAATGATGTTTCGGTGTCTAACACATTAATCATCATCCCGACGAACGAGCAGACCTTATTCTTGAGCTGCACCCTGCCCTCCTGTATGACCTCATCCTTGGCCGCCAGCAGGTGCTTCAGGTTCTCCACGTCTGCAAACTCGGCCTTCACCACGTTGGCCCGTTGGATGATCGGCTGAGAGGGCTGATTGACGGATGGTCGGGTGGATGAACGAAAGAATGAAAGAAAAGGTGAATATATTGAAAAAGGATGAAAAATTGACATCATCCGTCGTTAAAGTTGGAAATGAACAATTCAATCTTGGAAAGAGTTGACAATTTCAAACTTCATAGAGCTTTTATTGATAACAAATTGAACTTCAAAGCATGTATCGATAACATCATTCATTCTCAATTCCCATGGGAGACGTTTGGCAGTAAGACATCAGAAAACAAAGAGAGTGCACAATGCAAACAGACCATCCTCTCTGGCGTTCCGTCGAAATCATACTCCCCATTCTCCATGGCTGTTGATATCTTCTTGAACGTCTCACTCTGCTCTGATATCAGCTTCCTAAAGTGTGTGTGTGTGTGTGTGTTTGTGTGTGGTTTTTGTGGTTTCGAGGCAGCGAGGTTGTTGCGCTTGTTTTGTGATGAAATTTAAATTTCAGGCAAATATAAAATCCAAGATTATTACATCAACAATAAACTTACATCAGTAAAAGTAATGGATAACAAAAACATACTCCAGCAAAACAAGCAACTACAAAGCAGAGACAACGACACCATCTGCCAAAGAACAAATCCAACTTCAAAATATTGAGATCATCAGCCTTTCCAAATATCTTCTCGGTAGCCTTCAGCACCAGTCCTTCCATTTCACTTGACCCTATCCCTGAATCAGGTCCAATGGATTGCTCAACATTAATTCATAGTTGTGCTGGCGTTGTTGTTGTGTTGTTGTTGTTGTTGTCGAGTGTCATTTGTAATTGACGTCTACAAATAATATTACCATATTTAGGTTGTGAATATTTATTTAACCAGATAATAATTTAAACTTTTGTCGCCAACTTGCAGTGTCATTGGCAATCGTGACGACATAAAAACGAGACAACCAAACCATGCGGAACAACAGCAGCAGCAACAACAACAACAACAACAACAACAACAACAACAACATCTAGGGCACCAACCCATAGTCTCAGTGCTTTCGTGTCCTGCAAATGTTGAATGAGGTAAGTGAACCAAATAACGATAGAAACCAGCCGCAACATTAAACAACTCATACATCATCAATGAACATACAAAGTAACAAATGCACACAAACACACACAAACACACACACACACACACATAAAAGAACGTCACATCGCAGGAATTGCTTGGAAGAGCAAGAGGAATCTGTAAAACTATCAACTAATCGCTGAGTCGACTAACCACCAATCAATCAACCAGCCAACCGACCAACCAACCAAACAACCGACCGACCAACCAAACAACCAAACAACCAACCGACCGACCAACCAAACAACCGACCAACCAACCAAACAACCGACCGACCGACCGACCAAACAACCGACCGACCAACCAAACAACCGACCGACCAACCAAACAACCAACCGACCGACCAACCAAACAACCGACCGACTAACTAACCTGCCATGACGACAATCAGTTGACCGCATGCAGCACAAACCATCTTAATGATCTTCAACAACTTTCCAAGTGACTCCAGCGATTCTGACATCTTCTTTTCAATCTAATCAGTCGTGATGAAAATGATTGTGTTCGTGATATCGGTTATGATGAAAAATTGTGACAATGATGAAGATTGAGGTGGTAATGAAGGGTTATGATAATGATCAAAACTCAAGACGATCGTGAATGAATGAATGAATAAACGAATGAATGATAAATGAGAAAGATGATAAATGTTGTTTATTGTCACAAAGACATTCACCAACATCCAGCAAATATTGAAGCAACTTGCAAACACACAAACACATCCAAACTACCTACCTGATCACTGAAGGACATTGGGTTGGCAGAGGCAGGATTGTCTGGAAGTCTTCTTTTAACCTTCGCGTTCAAATATCATTCTTATCATCATTATAACTATCACCATAATAACATATCTGTAACGTCATATCATATCAGATGACAGAACATGACATTAAATTAAACTGCACGAGATCAAATCGTATGACATCCCATCACTCATTGCATGACATGACACGTCATCACATGACATAATGCGTCATCACGTGACGTCACTCATCCCATGACATGACACGTCATCACCTTCTTGGCAGAGTTCTTCAGCTCATTGTTCTGCTCCTCAAGGAAATTCAGCAAGTCAACAATTGGCGATGATAACGACTGCATCTCGCTCGGCTGGTCGTTTTAATGAATGAAGAAAAACTGATAATAATGACGACCCATACGATGAACGTGCATACGACTAACTGTGATATAACACCTTAATCAGAAAACATCAACAAGTGACATGAACACAACAACAGCAACAACAACAGCAACAACAACAGCAACAACAACAGCAACAACAACATCAACAACAACAGAAACCTTCAGTGATAACTTGAGCGTATGGACACTGGTGCCGATGAAGTTGGCGACGGCGTGTAACGTCTGCATCTGCACCGCCATCAGCTGGGCACAGTTGGGCTTGTACTGGGTCAGGTGCACTGAGTACAAGTGCTCAAAGTACTGGATGGCTTTGTCTAGCAGGTCTGTTGAAGTCGTCTCGTCCAACTGGAATTTAACAATTATTTCTGCTATTGAAACCATTCTGGCATTTAAAACCATTTTACAGGATCATGATAAGCAACTAAGAGATTTGGAAAACAAATGAACAACAACAACAACAACACACGTTTAGACGACATTTTCCCCGAGATCGGGGGTTGCCGTTTGGCTACCTATGATGAAACCGAAATACCCCTCGACGCCATTCCATCATAAGTAATTTATTTGGCTAATTTTTACGCAGGACGCCCTTCCTTACGCAACCACAGTTATAAGCGGTGGGCCTAGCCTTTGATGATCCAACATTACTCACAAGGCAGTGAGGGTCAGTTTAATGTCATAACCAGGACAGCAAAACAAATGAACAACAACATTAAATAGAATATGAAGACACTAACCGTAATAACATTAAAGCAACAACAGCAATATGAAACAGGCACAACAACAACAGAACGAAATGAACGCCACACACGACCTTATCCTTCCTGAGGAGGTCGACGTAGTAGTCCAGCGACTTCTCGTGCACTGCAATCTCCGGTAGCAGCGTTCCAATCTTCAGCAACATGTCCACCGCACAAGTGTTCAGTGCACTGCAGGTAGCACAATTTGACCAATCATAAATTCAGCCCAATTTTACACAACACCATCACGCATCGTCACCGCCGATATACATATCCACATCCGAACAATTTACGGCAAACAGGATTGCAGGCGTCTTGATGCAGGTGCCAGCATGCAGCCCTATAAACTAGATATGCATCCATCCATCCATATATCCATCCATATACCCATCCATATATCCATCCATATATCCATCCATCCATCCGTACAGCCATGCATGCATACACGAATATATCCATTCATCCATAAAGCCATGCATATATATCCATCTATCCAGCCAGCTAGCCATGCATGCATGTACCATGTACCAGCCACTCACTATTCATATTGTTTAAGATAAGCCTGCAGCACGCAGATTGAGTATGTGATGTTGCAAGCGAATACGAAGCCCTCACTCTTCTGCGTCTCGACCACGTCAGCCCGTGCTATCTCCTCTGGAATGTCAAACTGCATTGTGGTGTCGTGTGTGAAATGAGTGAGTGAGTGGATGTACGAATGGATGAGTAGATTAATGAATGAATTAGTGAACTAATGAATGAATGAATAGATAAATCAATGAGTGATGAGTGAATAAATTGAATAAAATGAATAGATAAAATGTCAAACTGCATTGTTGTATAATGAGTGAACGAACGAACGAATGAATGGATAGATGAATGAATGTATGAATGAATGAGAAGTTAGTTGAATGAATTAATGAATGAATGAATGAAAACATGAACGAATAGATGAAAAATAAAAAGAGAGAAAGGAACAAATAATTATTTAACAAACATACAAACATCCATATATAAACTTAATGAACGAACAAATGAACGAACGAACGAGCAAATGAACGAATGATTGTATAAATGATGAATGAATTGACAAAAAAAGAATAAACTAAAAAAAAAACCAAAACCTTTTCCTTGACTTGCGTCATGAGCAGGTCACATTTGGAGATCATGCGAGGGATCAAGAGGAGTGTCAGCACCGCGTCGTGATCACCTGCAATGAGTGAGTGATTAAGTGAGTGATGGAATGGGTAAATCAAAGAATGAGTAAATCAACGAATGAGTGAATAAACGAATGAGTGAACGATTGACTAAACAAAAGAAAGAAAAGTTGAGTCGATTGAATGTGAGCTAGAGGGTTGAACAAGTGCTTAGCTTGCAAAGGAGCATGTTTGAGTTGCAGTCTATTTATTCATCTTATTTTGATGGATTGAAGTTTGCACATATTCCAAGAAGAACTGACTCAATTGTCTATTGATGGCACATGAAGTAAAAACTAACAAATCAAAAATTAAATGAAAAAATGAGCGAATTAACAATTACAAGAAGAAATGAATGAAGGAAATTTTGTAGAAATGAATCAACAAATAGAGCCAAATGAACATGAAAAAAATAAACACGTACACACACACACACATACACACACAGAAGTACACAAATACACATATGGAAGACACAGTCACAGAGGTACGCAGTACAGATTACAGATATACATACAAAAAAATACAAAAAAAACAGAGAAAGAGAGACACAGCCAATCAGCCAGCCAATCAACCAACCAACCTCCTCTCTTGAGGAAGTTATCAGGCATGAATGAGCAGAGGTAGGCCACATGCTTGTTAGCCTGCTCCACATCCAGCTTTCTCAACTCCATGTCTATTGCCTGCGTATTGGTTGCAAATCCATAATAAGAACACCTTTTTATTTTCATCGTAAAAACGTACATGAAATGAATGAAACAATAATTGTCAATGATAATCAAAATTAAAATATATATGTATATAGTAAAATGTCCTGAAATAATCTCCGAAGCTCGTCATCTTATAAAAAGGATGTGTACAACGAGAGAAGGTTAATCCTAAATGGTTCATTCAATTTGCATTTCTATCACGGTAAATACTATATGATAATAATAATTATAATAATTATAATAACAATAATAAATGATAAATTAAAATAGTTCTATAACCTTAAACTGACGCCATAACAAGATACGTCGTTGTAAAATGCTTTCGTTAAAATTGTTTATTTTTAAATGTGTCTGAGAGAATTTTAATTATTTTTTTTTTCTCAAAAATCTTCTTTTAAGCATTTCTAATAGGACTTTATTAAATGTGCAAGCACCGGCATTCGGCCAGCTCAGCAGCGCACATCTCAACAAAAGGCAACGTCACCCTTTTATGACTTCACATTCACAGTCTAACAACATCATCAAACAACACAACAAATCATTAGTATGCAACATCGTATAATCATGTGGGAAAATTATGCAAATATCTTATTTTAAAATATATATAAAAAGAAATAAATTAATTAAGTTAATGTTAAAAAACTGCAAACAGACACCTCCTACCTTTGAAATGGCTTTGGTCTCAGCAAATTTGGTTTTGAAGTCAAACTCAATTGTGGGTGTGGGAGCTTTTGTTGTTGTAGTGTTGTTGGCAGTGATGTCTTGCTGTGATGTTGTTGTCGCTCCAGCACTGGAAAGTTCTTTTATTTTTGCCTGCATGACATTGGTGGAAGGATGGATGGATGCTTGTTTTTATGTGTGTGTGCGTACGTGTGCTGCTAACTGGAGTTCAATAAGAGCTTCCAAAACAAATTGAGAGAAAAACGATTAAGTTTAGAAAAAAAATCAAATTTTGCAAGTGAAGACATGATATGACAAAATTTTAAACGTTGACACTCCACAGCAGGGACAAAGATAAACACTGAATAATATACATAGAAACTGTTTTTTGAAAAATGTAGCCACATCAGCAAACAAAGCAATAAACCGGCTAACCAGCTAGTCAGATAACTAGCCAACCAAAACCAACCGACCAACTAATCAACCAACCAAACATTTTTCAAACAGTTTGACCCGACCTGCAACTGCCCAACAAGATCTCTGAACTTTTCAATGGTCTTCTGATAGTCGATGATGGTCTCGTTGAGGGCCTCGTTCTTCCTCAGTGTCTCGGAACACCTCATGTTCGACATGTCTAGAGACTCTCGCAACTCGAGTTCTGTCTCACGGGCTGTCTCCTGCAGTTCGTCATTCATCTCGCACAGAGCTTCCTAACGTTAATAACGAGAATGCAAATAAAAAAAATACAAAATCACCACAAAATGTGGAATGCTTTTAACAATAATGGACAAATGAAAGGAATACCGAAAACAAAAATTGCCAACGTTAATAGAAAATAGCACAAAAACGCTATCAACAAACAAGCATCTATCCATCATCTTGCAAAACCAAAGCAACACCGTGAGGCAAGTGTGAATTTTTGCCGCGAGTCGGAAACTTTTCTCTATTCGAATACCAGCAAACGCCGCCGCCAGCCTAGGACTCGCCTCCTTACAAATGTTTATCTCCGGTTCGGAAAACACGGACCGGGCGGGAGTGCTTTCGCGCCCTGCTTGCCAGTCGGTCATCCGGCCTTACTAACCGCTAACAAGTCTTCTTCATACATGTTTTATATGTTGAACAAGACAAACAAAAGCTAACTGAAATAAATTTATCACAAACAAAAACGAAAATAGACTTACTCTGCAAAATAAATGTTTTCCAAATGTTCCAAACTAAATAATAAACTAAATTAAAACGGCATCAAAACACAGTAACTAAATTCAGATAAATAAACCCGCAGGACAATATCACCAATTACCAAAATGACCAAAACCTAACACCCCTGGAACCGAACTACCCCCAAAAACTACACCAAACACTCTACCAAAAACTAACTCAAAAACTCGAAAAACTCTCCAAAACAATTGTCCTAAATACTTATACATTCATTCACACGAGCATTCATACACTCTCAAATATATTCAACATACTCGCGCCATACCATTCACATAAAACCCATTCACATAACATTCAACCTGCATGCATATAAAACCAGTTTATACAACGTTTTACCAGCATGCATACCAGACCACTCTATACAACAAGCGCGCCAAACCAACCAAGACACAAACACACACATGAAACATTCATTCATAAACGCGCGCCAAAAAACTTCACTCAAGTAACCAAACATCAACGAACCATCAACCAAAAATAAATCCGTGAACATGGATACAACAAATCCCAACAACATACAGGACAGAAGAATAATAAAAACAGATAGACAGACAAATAAACAAACAAAATGAAAGAGAACAGAACAAACAAACATCACCGACCAGATCAGCCTTCTCTTCCTCCAACTTCTCGATGATTTCCTCTTGCTTCAGGGTCTTCTCTGTCAACTTCTCAACCATCTCTTCAGCTCCTTGGGAGCTGTCAACCTGGAGTTTGTTTATTCATTCATTCATTTATTCATTCCTTTCTTCATTCATTCGTTCATTCATTCACTCACTCATTCATTCGTTCGTTAACTTAATCACTCACACATTAATTTTTTTATTAATTGTACTCAGTCAATCATTTGGAAATTTAAAAAGAGTTTTGGTAATGAAAATGATGAACTTTTGTAAAAACTTGAATTGTGCACTTTTGGGGTTTTTGAGTGGAAACGTCAAAAAAAAATTAATAATGATTGAAAACATTGCAGTTGATTTTTATATTGCATCTGAAGACCTCTATGCCAAAATATTTTCTAAGGTGAACTAAATGAGAAAAAGTAAAATTAGAAGTAGAACAATTCTAAATGTGTGGTATATGTATGATATTCTAAATGTGTGATATAAGTTTGATATTCTAAATAGTTGATATCAGTGTGATATTTTAAACGTTTGATATATATTTGATATTCTAAATGTTTGATACAAGTTGAAGAACGAAAATTTAGGCAACTTAAAGCTGACATAAAACGAATGCCAAACTACAAAGTTTTTAACGAATATGGATAATAAATTTCTAAAATTATATAATTTAATTTAGAAAAATTGAAATATGAACGAGGAAAAATTGTTTACGGTTAGCGAGTTCAATGAATGTTGTATTAAATCTGATTGTACGCAGACTATTGTTTCAGAGGTGAAGACATGCGTTATTTCAACAAAGCTTGTCATAGCAACATTCCAATCGTGAGAAAGTGAATTTTTTTTTTCAAGTAGTAAATATGAATGTACAACTTTACGTTTCCACCGACCTAACATCGAAAATGATTAGAGCGACGTAGGAAAAAAACATTTTCTTAAAGTAAAAATCAAAGAATGTACCATTTGTATTTCTCATGATCAAATTTCAGTAATCACGGATCCAGAATTTAGGTCTGAGAATTTTATCCCCCAAAAAGAACTAATAATAAGCTACAAGCCCAACAAACAGCAGCCATCAACATCCAAGACAAGAGTGAACAACATCATGCAAATGAACAACGACATCAGCAAACCTGCTCTTTGAGTTCAATGGCCTCTTCCAGCAACTTCTTCACCTGACTGTCCAGCCTCTCCTTGTCCTTTTCCAGAGATGCTAGTTCGGTTTTCTGCACCTCCACCAGCTTCTGCAACTTCAACGTCTCCTGCTTCTCAAAGTTACTCAACTCTCGTACTCTGTTGTTGGTATTAAGTTGTGATGAAGATGAAGATGGTGATGAGGAGGATTGTAGTGATAATGATGATGAGGGTGATTATGATTGGATGAAATTTTAAAACTATAAATGACGACGAAGGTACCTGTATGGGCAGGTGCAATTAAAAGAGAAACAGGTCAAACATTGAAGCAAGCAAGAGCAGAAACTAAGAAAAAAATCAGGCTAATTAGAAATAAATTTGATAAGAATTAAAACGAACCTCTGTCACAAAACGCTCTCAATGTAATGATGCTTATCAAATTTAAAAAAAAATAATCAATAATCAAATAATAATTGGGGGACAAAAGAAAAATTTTCAACAGATTCGAGAATTTTCAGTATAAAAAGTTTTTAAGACTTTGGATTATTAAGAGTTGTAAAAAGTGAACTGATGAATGTGCAGGAATATGAGATTCCGATTTAGAGCGAAAAACAAAATGCCATCCCAACCACAACCTACTTGACGATGGCCTCTTTAAGTCTTTCATTCTGCTGCTCCAGTTGCTTCTTCTCGAAAGTTGAAAAGGTGCCTTCAGCCGGTGTCTGCATATCTTCCTTCAGGAGTTGCAGGTCCAATGACAGTTCCTCTGCCTTCTCCTTCCATTGGTCGATCTCTTGCTGCAGACTCTCGCACTGTTCACGCGAATATTCACATTCAATAGCATTCACAACCTCATTAAACATTCACCATCGTCACTTCTATCTATTCACATCACAAACATAATTATCCTTTTCAACTGCTCACTCGTCCTTACCATTCACATCACCGTCATCTAACCCTCATATCATCAACAATTAACAAATCATTTTTATTCACATTATCATCATGGTCCATGTCATCACCATCAACTTTTACATCATCATCATCATCTTCACACTCACGTCATCACCAGTCAAATCCTCACTCACATCATCATCGTCATCATCATCAACGTCGTCATCATCATCAGGACCACCTTCTCCTCGGCCATCTCCTTGTCCAGTGTAGCCATCTCGATGGTCTCCTGCACCTCCGACATCTCATCCTTGAAGGATGCATACTGCTCTGCTACGTCCGCTGCTTCCTAGTGAGTGATGGAGTGAAGAGATGAATATATGAATGAATGACTGAATGCGTGAATGAATGAATGAATAAGTGAATAAACAGAGGTTAAATAAATGAATCAATCATTCCTTCTAAGAAGGAGACACAGGTACATCGCAAGTTGGCAAGAGACAGCATCACAACAACCTTCTTAGCAGCTTGCAGTTGCCTCTGCAGATCATTCATAGTTTCCTGGGTTTTTATCTTGTACTCTTGGTGCTGGTGGGGTGGAAATATTTTTATCATCATAATCATCATCATCATTCTCCTCCTCCTCATCATCATCGTCATCACCTGCTGTAGTTGAATCTTAACTTTCTCGAAGTCCTTCAGCCTGGCGACGTCCTGGGCTCTCTTCGTCTTCAACGTTTCCAGCTTCTCCTGTAGGTCCTTTATCTCGCTCTTCAGACCTGTTGCCATCATCATCGTCATCATCATTATCACCATCATCACCATTATCGTCATCCTCTTCCTCCTCCTCACATCATCATCACCATCATCTTCGAAACTACATCATCATTATTGTAGTGTCCATTTTTTAGACTTACGGTAGGTTTTCATTGCCGGTCTGTCTCGTCAAAAAGAATGAAATGATGACTGATCGTCGTTATCATCATCACCATCATCATCATCATCACCATCATCATCATCACAATCATCATCATCATCATCCTTCTAATGGTCATCACGGTCCGGTCATCGTAATGATCACCTTCAATCTCCTGCAGATGGTGCATGTTCTCCATCTGGACGTTGATGCTCGCCGACGCTGCTGATATGTCAGCCGCTGAAACCTGTTCAGTTTCGTATCATCGTCATCATTTCATCATCCTCCATTTCATCATCCTCCATTTCATCATCCTCCATTTCATCATCCTCCATTTCATCATCCTCCATTTCATCATCCTCCATTTCATCATCCTCCATTTCATCATCCTCCATTTCATCATCCTCCATTTCATCATCCTCCATTTCATCATCCTCGTCATCATAATCACATTGTCATCCTTCTCACCACCAGCACATTATCATCGTCATCATCTTAACACTACCACCACGTCATCACCATAACACTACCTGACCATCACCACATCCTCCTCCTCCTCCTCACATCATCATCAACATACATGCACCCACCAAGCCACCCACCCACCCACCTACCTTGGACACGGGAGTGTTGATGGCCCCAGCACTGACCACTTTGACCACCCCCTCTGGTATCTCGGCTGCTTCACTTTTATTGAGGACGATCGGCTTGATGGAGGGGAGGGAGTCTGGTTTGCTGACCGGTGGCGTCTAAGGTGGCGGTGGTGACAACGACGACGAAGATGATGACGGAGATAGTGATGAAAATATGAGTGGATGATGGTGACGATGAAGGTGATAATAATGAAACAAACGGCCAAAATGAAGATGATGTACGTCACTGACCAACAGACAGTGCAAACAGTGCAATGCGATAACGAACCAATTAAAAAATGACTGATCGTAATTAAGTGACGCTTTAAAGGATGCCGTCTGAAGTGGCGAAAGATTTATGCCGTACTATTGACCTCAGCATTTCAGCAATGATATTACTTTATACAAATAAAAATAAACATCAACCCTATGCTATTTTATTCCTCTCCTCATAAGCACCATAAGAAGACTTGTGACGTAATTGTGACATAAGCAACGCGTGTGCGTGCGTGTGTGATGCAATTGTATCAAAAGTATTCACGTACACTATTACACCGTTATAAAATAGTTAGTCAACTTTTTCTTGAGAATATAGCAACTGAGAATTAGGGACTAACTGATTCAACTTTTGGCTGCTTGCCAGCGGAGGTCGACGGCTGAGGTGGCTTGCCCACCAACCCCTTCACCTTAGCGTCTTTCGGGGTTTCCGCTGGTGACGATGAAGATGATGACGGTGGTGATGATGACGATGTGATAGTGATAACGCATTTGAAATAATTCCATTTAGGATAACGATAAGAGTGATGACATAATGATATAAGTGAAGATACAATGATATAAATGATGATACAATGATAAGATTTATTCCAATTTCATTTCAAGCTGGTGACAAAACCATGATTTGTTAGAGATGATTTGATTTTTTTGTGTGTGGTTTTATACTAATGGTGACAAACAAGAATGCCTATGCAATGATGCTGTGATGCTGATAAAAACTCGCGATACAATGATAACATCGTGAATGATTACGTAATCATCTTGGGTGATTAAAAAAATATATCTTGATACATTCACCATGATAACAAGTTCACTCATCTCTTCATCAACTACCTGATTTTTGTTCATCTATTAAGCCAAGATGATA